GTGTCGCGTCAGACGAAACACAGTAAACGCTGTCGTGTTCTCTGGCGTGTGTATGGAGGGAATTACACCCAATCACTCTGATCACACACTTCGACTGCGGCGTTTCTGAAACGCCAAACTAACATTATAGACGCTGCGATGCCATTGGTCCACTGGTTACTCCAGTTATCCACTGAGGGTTTTGTTGCGCATCAAAGGATTTATTCAGTATATCTGTTTCCGTCATAGTTTATGCACATGTCTTCTAATTTGGGGGAAAAGTCAATTATGAATCATGATTTTATAATCTATGGATTTTAATTGATTCACAACTTTCAAATATCAATTATCGAGGCAGTTAAAGCTACACTTTTATAACTTTTTTATGTTCTAAATTGAAAAAAAAATTAAACATACATTTAATCAGGTTAGAAAAAAAGGTAACACTTGACTTGAAGGGGTGTGCATAAGACTGACATGACACCTTTATAATCATGACACATGTTATGAATATTAAGGAGGGTTTATGGCAACTGCCATTAAGTGTCATTATGACATTTTTAATGCAAATATGGCATTGTTTGAGATGTCTTTGTTGTGACACCTTGACATAAACCAATCCATCATAACCTGTCAGTGTCTTTGTCATGACAACTGGACATTACCAAGACAACATAAATATGTCTTAAACAGATTAATGATCAAACTTAAGAAAGCACTTAGCTTTATGGGTGAACATTACATTAAACTGTCATGTGGTTGGTTTTGACATTGGCTGTCATGAGGCGCATGATTTTACAGTGGCATGATTTACCACATGATTTTACAGTGGTATACGTTCAATTTGTCATTAACATGTTATTATAACGCCCTCATGACAGCCAATGTCAAAATCAAAATCACCACATGACAGATTAATGTAACCAATAAAGCTAAAGTTTCTTAAGTTTAATAATTAATCTGCTATGTCATATTTATGACAGGTTTTGTCTTAGTACTATCAAGTTATCATGAAAAATGTCATATTTGCATTAAAAAATGTCATAATTGAGTGAATGACACTTAATGACAGTTTGTCACAAACATGCATAAACCCTCCTTCATATTCATAACATGTGTCCTGTCCTAATTACGAAGGTCTTATGCACACCCCTTCAAGTCAAGTGTTACCGAAAAGAATAAAAGTAGATGGATGTAAACACAGAAATTGATAAAAATGGCATATCATTCCAGAGAAAGTGTGTGTTGGGCTGGAGGAGAGGACGAGGAGGTCTGTCCTACCTGTGTGTAACTGAAGCCCTGCAGAAGCAGAAAGTAGGGAAAATCCAGCGGCGGATGAATGGAAAACTGTGTGTCGTTGTCATCGCTGCTCTCCGTCTCCTCGCGCTCACCAGCGGACAGTGTGTGTGTTTGTAGACCTCGGCCTCTGGATCCTCCGTGAGGTTTGTGTGAGCCTCGACTCTCAGGTTCGTCAGGCTGAGACTCTTAAACATATTGTGTTTTCCATCGTCCAGCCGGACGATCGCCCACGGGAGCGAGTCTTCTGCAGCTTCCGTGCCTGTGCGTTTATGCCTGGAACATGAGACATTGAAAGTATTAAAGTGCTGAAAATCCAGCTTTTGAAGTGTGTTTATATGTGTTTAATCTGCTTTAACACACACACATGTGTAAGTTCATAAGTGGACAGCATTGCTGAGTATTTCCTCCTTAAAACTGCAGTGAACCAAAGACAGTCTCAAAAACACGCTTTGAAGTGGAGGTGGGGCTCATTTGCATATTCATAGAACCACGTATACTAAATGAGGCGAGGTGTCGAGTTACATTCAAGATATTTCAAGAAATAATGTCATTTTGGTGAGTTTTAATGGATACAATTATTGACAACAGGGGGACTTTAAACATCTTTGTTTTAGAAGAAAAGGTTCTATGTGGATATAACAGTTCTCAACCAGGGGGTCTTATCAAACTTAATATCTTTTTCACCACAAGGCACTATTCCAAAACTTTTTGAGTACCTTCAAGGCATCATGCCGGAAGACACGCACCAATTTTCATTCCAATGCACCAATGCATTCGTAAAATATAGCATTTTAGTGGCCCAAAACACCAAATATCTCAGTGCAGAAGTGATTATTGGGGGCTTTACCAGCGGTCACCGTGTCTTTGTCTTAGAGTTGTTTTCTTCCACTGTAGCCTTGCGCTGGATCTCAAATCGGCGAGCGAAACCTTCTCTGGGCTTCCAGAGCGACTGCAGCAAGAGCGGCTTCTCATCGTCTCCAACCACACGAACACATTCAGTCCTCCAGCGCTGGTTCTCCACACAGCCGATCACGTCACACAACACATACTCATCAGATTCTTCTTTGCTCAGGGAGTATCTGAAACAATACAAACAGCAGAGCAGCTGATAGGACACACACACACACACACGCACACCACACTACTGTTGGGTTCAGGGTTTAATGTGTTTGAAAGAGTCTCTTCTGCTCTCCAAGGCTGTGTTTATTTGTAAAATAATACAGTAAAAACAGTGAAATATTATTGCAGTGTAAAACAGATTTTGTCACAGATAAAAACATTTTAAAAGATAATCGTGAGTTTTTATCTCACAATTAAAGAGTTTACATCACGCAATTTTGACCACAGAATTGCGAGACATAAAGTCAGAAGTCGCATGATCCTTCAGAAATCACTCTAATATGATGATTTGATGATCAAGAAACATTTATTATGTGGAAACCGTCATACATTTTATTTAGCTGGATTCTTTGATGAATAGAAAGTTCAAAAGAACAGCATTTACTAAAATATAATCTTTCGTAACATTATAAATGTCTTTACTGTCACTTTTGGTCAATTTAATGCGTCCTTGTTGAATAACAGTATTAATCTGATTCAAAAGACAAACAGACATTAAGATCTTGAAAAACACAGGCACTTTCGAACACATGTATTCTAGTAGTAGAATTAGGAAAGAACAGAGCAGTTTCTGTTTCAGATCCTGGGTCAGATGTAATAACCCAGTGTTTGGGTAGTTTTTGTGTAACCCATATCCTGGGTCAGACGTAACAACCCAGTGATTGGGTAGTTTTTGTGAAACCCAGATTCTGGGTCAGAAGTAACAACCCAGTGTTTGGGTAGTTTTGTTGTAACCCAGATCCTGGGCCAGACGTGACAACCCAGCGTTTGGGTAGTTTTTGTGTAACCCAGATCCTGGGTCAGACGTAACAACCCAGCGTTTGGGTAGTTTTTGTGTAACCATGATCCTGGGTCAGACGTAACAACCCAGTGTTTGGGTAGTTTTTGTGTTACCCAGATCCTGGGTCAGACGCAAAAACCCAGTGTTTGGGTAGTTTTTGTGTAACCCAGATCCTGGGTCAGACATAACAACCCAGTGTTTGGGTAGTTTTAGTGTAACCCAGATCCTGGGTCAGACGTAACAACCCAGCGTTTGGGTAGTTTTTGTGTAACCCAGATCCTGGGTCAGACGTAACAAGCCAGTGTTTGGGTAGTTTTTTGTGTAACCCAGATCCTGGGTCAGACGTAACAACCCAGCGTTTGGGTAGTTTTTGTGTAACCCAGATCCTGGGTCAGACGTAACAACCCAGTGTTTGGGTAGTTTTTGTGTTACCCAGATCCTGGGTCAGACGCAAAAACCCAGTGTTTGGGTAGTTTTTGTGTAACCCAGATCCTGGGTCAGACATAACAACCCAGCGTTTGGGTAGTTTTTGTGTAACCCAGATCCTGGGTCAGACGTATCAACCCAGTGTTTGGGTAGTTTTTGTGTTACCCAGATCCTGGGTCAGACGTAACAACCCAGCGTTTGGGTAGTTTTTGTGTAACCCAGATCCTGGGTCAGACGTAACAACCCAGTGTTTGGGTAGTTTTTGTGTAACCCATATCCTGGGTCAGACGTAACAACCCAGTGTTTGGGTAGTTTTTGTGGAACCCAGATTCTGGGTCAGACGTAACAACCCAGTGTTTGGGTAGTTTTGTTGTAACCCAGATCCTGGGTCAGACGTGACAACCCAGTGTTTGGGTAGTTTTTGTGTTACCCAGATCCTGGGTCAGACGCAAAAACCCAGTGTTTGGGTAGTTTTTGTGTAACCCAGATCCTGGGTCAGACGTAACAACCCAGTGTTTGGGTAGTTTTTGTCTAACCCAGGGGCTCATTCTTCGTACGTCAGTAACTTAGCTGGTTTTGATTGTTGGTGATTTGCCATGATCTTGGATCGTTTGGTTCTTTGACGCTCATCCTGGACTTGCTGTCATAGCAACAGGTCCGTCAGCTTGTAACCCAACATGTGTTCGGTTGTACAACCCCAATATTGGGTTGTTTTTTAACCCAGTGTCTTTTAGAGTGTGTGTGGCCCGGATCTGGGCCGACACTGTGTTGCCGTGTGGGTTCTGACTGCTGTACTCACCTGGAGAGAGCCTCTTTGACCAGCTCTTTGGCACTGGAGTGTGTCGTGGCAAGAACGCTCTTGTAATTCGCTCCTTCGCAAATCTCAGTGCCGAAGATCTTCAGGATGCCGGGAGCCGAGACCTGATTGGACAGTTCTGAGGGATCGTCCGTCACCTCAGCCGAGTCTCTATGAGGGCCGCGGCCGAACACAGCGGACAGACGCTGACGCCGGATCTTGTTCTTGGCCGGTTGTCGGATCCCGACGCTCTCCGTGGATCTGCCCGTGCCGCTGGATGAGCTCGACCTGGAGGAGGGAAGCAAACGGATCAACTCGATGCAAACCTGCACTGCTTTAAAGAAATGCACTTTTATGATGGACAGATGGACAGATGCACTTTTATGATGGACAGATGCACTTTTATGATGGATAGATGCACTTTTATGATAGGAAATTTTAAGGACTTCAAAATGTCAACTGTATTTGTCTTAAAGAAGAATGTTATATACACCTATGATGACTTGAGGGTGAATAAAACATGGGCTAATTTTCATTTTTTGGTGAACAAATCCTTTAATCTGGCTGTCCATCAATAATGAATGGCAATGTGCAAATGCGCAGTTCCTCTAAATACCTTTATAATACTTTGAGGATTTTGTCTAAATCCTGTATTTCAGTAGCAGTGGCACAAAAGCTCCTTTACATTGCGTCAGTATTACATGTGTGTTTATTCATCTTTTGGGCCCTAAATAAAATCTCTAACTTCACTATTATTTATTTGTTCCAAAGGGAATAGTTAGTATTAGGGCGCCAATATAATTAATATATATCTGATTAAGCTTTGTAATATTATTGTGAGATGCTTGGAAATTTTTCAAGGAATGATATAGTATAATACTGTTCAATTTTTTCATATTTATGGGTTCATGTATGATACCAGACACATTTCTGCTATACAAACTGAATTAAACAAACTTAAATCATACTTTTTTAATGAAGAACAATCATGAGAAATCCTTTCCACTACATCAGTGTCATATGTGGAATATGATGGTGGAAATAACATTTTAAACAACTTGACTAGAAATGATGCACAATAAAATATACTAAACGACTAATAGTTAAGTCTTCAGTTCTTATTCACTGACGTTTTTCAAAGTTATAATCAACTTTGTGTTTTGTGTAATATTCAGAATCACATAAATAATCAAAACAATAAACGAGTCATGTTTATTTCGTATATTGTTTAACGTTAGAGCATAGCTTTTTAAAATATAATACTTTTTTTTTTTTTTTTAAATATAGAAAGTCTGGTACAAGTGTAAAAATCATAAAAGGCATTTTTATAAATAATCAGAAGTAAGGTATAAAATGTTTACACGTGTGTGTGATCTTAATACGAAAAAAAAGTTTGTAAGAGACCTAAAATCACACTCTAAAAAATGCTGGGTTGTTTTAACCCAATTTTGGGTCAATGACAAACCCCCCAAAAAACGTTGTGTTAAAAATGTGTAATAGAAAAATTCAACCCAACGACTGGTTTATCCATATTTTACCCCAAATTGGGTTAAAACAACCCAGTATATTTTTAGAGCATTGATTTGCTTTGATTACAGTATCAAAGGGATAGCTCATGAAAGACTAATCAGTCCTTTAATAACTTTATAAGTGAACTCACTGGACGGATCCATTACTGTGTTTCCTCCCGACCCGTGAGAGTCTCCTACGGGACGCGCTGGCCGGTAAACTTCGCTCGTGCCCGATCATCGTCCCGTCATCAGCTGTCTTCTAGTTAACGGGTCCGTTAGAATGACGTTCGCGCCCGAGTTGCGCGCGCATCATATGAACCGGCCAACAGTATTCCAGAGGCGATATGAACTCTTCACTCTTCAGCGCAACACTGAGCGAGTTTCTATAGTTCTGCTTCTCAAACACGCAGATCTGATCATCTGTCTACGTAGGCAGCACTTGTGGGCATCACGGGCGCGTTCCCGGGGAAAAATGCTGCGCGCGCCTGTGATGCCCACAGCACTCATGATGTCTAGTAGGCTTTTTAGTGTGTGTTGGGACACTAACAGTTACAGGCTGACTGAACGTGCTGCTGATGATGGACCTGTTTATCTTCCATCATTAAGTTATACTTATATTAAATACATTAATTGCGATCTCGAATCGATTTGAAAATTAAAGTCGTTCAAACGACAAAGGTGCGTCCATGTTAAAAGGGATATTTCACTTTGAAATTAATTTTGATATCTTTTAGCTTACCTCAAGGGCATCCAAGATGTAGGTGTCTTTGTTTCCACAGTATTTTCAATTTTGACATTTTTCGGTCAAACCGGTGTTGTCTGTCAGTGTCAGTCATATAATGCAGGGTATGGGGGTCCGCCTCAAAGAGAGCATACACAGAGAAGTCAAAATTAAACATGATTTATGACTCGTGTCGTGAATGTAAGTACACATTGATGGCCTAAGACACCAAACGAGCGGTTTGTGTGAGAGAACGAACAGTATTTATATCGTTTTTACCTTAACCAGCCGTCGAACTGACCTGATTTAGATGTCCAACTGAAACTGAACCGAACTAAACCGTCTCCCAACATTACGCCGGAAGTGATCTCTCGCGGGTCTATGTCACGCAATGTTTACGCCACGGAGATTTCGGGAGTTTTACCTTTCACTAAACATATTTACATATATCGAAATCGTCTTCCATTGCGATTTCCCGTATATCTAAATATGTTTAGTGAAAGGTAAAACTTCCGAAATCCCCGTGTAAACAATACCTGACGTAGACGCGCGAGAGATCACTTTCGGCGTAAAGTTGGAGACGGTTCAGTTCCGTTCAGTTGGACATTTGATTCAGATCAGTTCAACGGCTGTTACTGTAACAAGAGGTAAAAACTATGTAAATACTGTTCGTTTTCTCACACAAACCACTCATTTTGTGTCTTAGGCCATCAATGTGTACTTAATATGAAAGTCTTTAGCTGGTCATCGGTGGTTAAGCAGCGCGTGGACATGCGCGCCATCTAGAGGCCAAACTGAGAAAACAAAACAACATCTTATTTTTATTTAATTAATTCATTTTTATATTATTTTTTAAAATGTCTTTTTAGTTTAATTAGATTTTATTTATTAAAACTAAAATGTATTTATTTACTTTGATGTAATGTATTAATTCATGATTTTTATTTTTATTATTTTTTAATTTACTGTATTAAAATGTATGTATTTGTTAAATTAATCTTTTATTTCTTTTATTTATTTATTTATTTGTAAAAATACACTGCTTTTCTCTAAACCTTTCAGTCCGGACCCCAGTCTGAAAACCCCAAGCTTATGTTGTTTATATAATATTTGGCTGTCTCATCATCTGTATGTATTGTCAGTGTAAAAGCAAATTCTCTCCATATGTTTTGTGTGGTTACCTTACCTGTACTGTCTGACACACTGAAACAAACTCTGTTTTTACTCTCTAGATATTCTTTTTAAGGTAAAAAACAAACCAAAATAATTATGTTTGACATCTTTCAGCCGTCTCTGTTAAACCACTAGAGGGCGCGCGACACCCAAAAAGAAAAAAAAAACATCTTTTTTTGTACACAACATATTAGCCTAAACATTTTCACCAGCCAAGCCGAGTCACAACGAAATCTCTCTGAGTGTTATAGCATTCGCCCTTGAACGTGTTTGCTGTATAGTGTGCTTATCTTCACGTTTTTGGTGGTTTTTAGATAATAACCCTTGATGTTATAAAGGGTTTCCCCAACTCAGAGCAGTTTTTTTGTCTTATGATTCAGCAATATAATGACTTCCAGTCAAGAAGAATAATGGCGGCAAAAAACAACAACAGTGGATTAAAAACAACACACACACACACACACACACACACACGGGTCTTTCCTTTAGGTTTCTTAATGCTGTTCAACATTTACAGATTCGTGCCAGCAACAGTTCTATATGAATATGATGTTTTGTAGGCTACATGACAACAATTTGCATGAATGCAAAAAAGGTCGTAAGTATCATCTTTCTTTGTGGCATAAATAATAATGCAAATGTGTGTGTGTGTGGTTTTTCAGCGATGTATGCAAGCATTGTAACACACATATGCATTAGGGATCGGGATATCTCTGGTTACACTGTACAATAAGATCTAATTATTAGCATTATTTAATGCATTAATATTATAATATAGTCTTGTGCATCGTTTACTCATGTTAATCAAGTCTCCGAAGTCTTAGAAAAATCATTTGTGTGTGTGTGTTTCTGACCTATAGGCATAATTCTGGGGGAAAAAACATATTGAAAATAAAACTAATTTTGTGTATATCCTTAAGAAAATTGTCCAATTTTTTTAGCATGTGAAAATTAATATTATAAATTTGTTGTGCTATATAATATTGTACAATATTTAGTTACACTGTAAAAAAATATTGATGGTTTAACTTAAAAAAGTAAGTAACCTGGGTTGCCTTAAAATTTTAAGTTGATTGAACTGGAAAAAGTGAGTTAATACAATGAAGTAGATTAATTTAACCATTAGAAACTCAAAATAGTAAGTTATCTTAACTAAATCAATTATTGTAAAGTTGATTTGACAAAAGAAAATATGTTGTGATAACAAATATTGAAAATATTTTTTACAGTGTACTATTACATGACATCATTGCATATTTTTCCACTCATGTATACTAGGCTATTTATTCATTTATTATTTAATTTAATTTTACTAGTTACTTATTTTCACCTTATTTTAATTTAATTAATTTATATAGATTTCAGTTTATTTAAATATAATGTATTAATTTATTATTGAATCGTTGTATTTATTTATTTTTATTTAAATAAAATTGTATTTATTTCAATTTATTTATTTTATTTCAATTTATTTTAATATATTCTATTAATTTATTATTAGATTTTTTATTTTATTAAAATTTATTTAGTTTTATCGTATTTTCTAATTTATGTTTTTAATCACATTTATTTAAATAACATTTTGTTAATTTATTTTAACTTAATGTATTAATTTGTTTGCATTTAAATAAATTTGTATTTATTTATTTGAATGCAATATATTAATTTATTATTTGTGTTAATTTTAACTATTTTTTATTTGTTTAAAAATTATTTTTAATGTAATTTTTTACTTTAATAAAATGTATTTTATATATTTAAATGCTATTTTATTTTTTATTTAATGTATTTATTTATGTAAATTATTTACTGTAAATAAAATGGTATTTATTCTTTTTAAGCATTTTTAATATAATATATTAATCATATCGGTTTTAAAAGTATTTATTTGTTTAGTTTAATCTTGTTTTTATTTACTTAGATTTTGCACTGATTTCCTTTACACGTTTCCAGTAGCCCTGTAATTGTATTTAATTATTTTTTACAGTAATTCTGCTAGTAGTAAGCGCGCGCGCGCGCGCGTGCAGCTCGCGCGCAGAAAGTGGGCGGAGTCTCGTGCCATGACAACCTCAGACTGACTCTAATGCACTCTCGGTTCTGGACGGGGGGAGGAGGGTCGGGACCGGCCACACACACACATACACACACACACACACACACTCACACACACACTATCTGGCTGTCCGTCGGTGGAGTGTGTGTCGTCCATGACCGTGTGTTTTAGTTGCAAGAAAGAAGAGAAGAGAAAAGCCGCCACATCCTCTCGGCTCTCGGAAGAGGTCCATCAACATCAGCGCCAATGGAGCTCCTATGCGGCCGCGAGCTGCCATTCTGGGTGAGTTCTCCAACACATCTGGGTTTGCCTGTTTTCAGCTGTAAATTATACATAAAGAAGATTTTCTACTGTGCTCTGTTTCCTTGACACTCGTTAAACTACAAACGAATCACATGAGTTGCTGGAGTGACGCGTTACGCAGAAGCAAAGCGTCTAATCTTCTGAGTTGGATCGTTTTAAGTGAACCGGTTCCGAGTTGTTAGTGAATCGGTTCTTGTGTTCAAGAGTCAGCTGAGGATTCATGCTGAACTCGGAACCGCATACTAGCTTAAGTTACTATATCTGATATAGAAAGATGTGATAAAAGTAGTGTGCGGTTCCAAACACTGTTCAACTTTTCAGTGAACCGAACACCGGATGTGTTCGATTCGTAGTGAATCGATTCAACTGCGAGTTTGAATACTTGTTTTTTTTATTGAACAAAGATCACAGGCGATACATGTATCACAAAGAAACTGTAATTAAAGTACAGACAGTAGTACAAAAAAAGAATTGAGTTGCTGAGTTTAATAGCGTAAAAAACTACAAATGACCTGGAAGATATTTAGGAATTATATATTAGCAAACAGGTTATTTAAATAAAAAGCTTTTTCTACAAACATGCAAAAACTGAATGAAATTAATTTTAGCATAGCATATGTATTAATCAATTATCAATTAATTAATCTTTGTTTTATAATCTAAATGATGTATTATTTATACGACTTAGTTGTTACAGTGTAATAATAGATAGGTACTGTGTGATATTGATTAACTACATGTACTTGCTATAGGGTTAGGGTAAGTTGCATGTAACTATACCTCCTGCACACACTCAGATTCAGTGACCCTGAAGCGACCCGCTAATCTAAACCTGAGAGAGAGCTGAACGTCTCAACCTATACAGTAAGCGAATAACTCCTCCAGTTCATCACAGCAGCTGCACAGCGAGTCTAATCATATCACTGACGATCAACTGCAGCGCGAGCTGAGTAAACACTGACATCTGTAATGCAGAGCTTAGCCGAGAGTCCATCTGACGCCTCATTCATGGGTCTATGACAAACAGAAGAAGGACACTAATATGCACATTTCCTGAAGAACATGGAAGTGGTGCTTGCAGTGTCAAAATCTGGCACCTTTTATTTAAATAACCTGTTTGCTAATATATAATTCAATAATAAAAATGTCTTCCAGGTCATTTGTAGTTTTTTATGCTATTAAACTCAGAAACTCAATTCTTTTTTTTAGTAGACTATATACTACTGTCTGTACTTTACAGCCTTGCTTCACCCCGAGTTGTATCCCCAGTGATCTTTGTTCAATAAAAAAAAAAACGAGTATTCAAACTCGCAGTTGAACCGATTCACTACGAAACGAACACATCCGGTGTGCGGTTCACGGAGAAGTTAGGGTGCTAGGATGTTTCTAGGCGATTGCTAGGGTGGCATGAGTGTTTGCTAGGGTATACTGGATAGTTGCTAGGTGGTTGAGGGTGTTGCTAGGGTGTCAGAGTACTTGGGATGGTTGCTATGGTGTTGCAAGGTGTTGCTAGGGTGTTCTGGGTGGTCACTATGGTGATGATAGAGTACTTGGGCTGGTTGCTAGGGTGTTCTTATACGGTTGCTAGGGTAGGATGTGTTGCTTCTAGGATATACTGGACGGTTGCTAGGTGGTTGAGGGTGCATTAGGGTCGGTGGCTGCTTTGGTGTTGCTTGGGATGATTGATAGAGTGTTTCTATGCAGTTGCTAGTGTGGCATGAGTGGTTTCTAGGGTGTTGCTAGGGTATACTGATGGTTGCTAGGTGGTTGAGGGTGTTCTGGGTGGCTACTATAGTGTTGCTAGAGTACTTTAGGTGGTTGCTAGGGTGTTGCTATGCGGTTGCAAGGGTGGCATGATTGGCTGCTAAAGAGTTGCTAGGGTATACTGGATGGTTGCTAGGTGGTTGAGGGTGTACTAAGGTCGGTGGCTGCTTTGGTGTTGCTAGAGTACTTGGGGTGGTTGATAGGCTGTTTCTATCTAGTTGCTAGGGTGTCATGAGTGGTTTCTTGGGTGTTGCTAGGGTATACTGGATGGTTGCTAGGTGGTTGAGGGTTGGATACTTTAGTGTTGCTAGAGTACTTCAGGTGGTTGCTAGGGTGTTGCTATCCAGTTGCTAGGGTGACATGGGTGGTGACTAGGGTGTTACTATGCAGTTGCTAAGGTTCTTGGAGTGGTTGCACGTGCACGTGCACTCAATACAATATATATATATATATATATATATGACCCAAGACTCTTTTTAACACGTTTAACAGATGCGTCCAAAAGAAACCTTGATTTCTACACTCATATGTCCCGTTTTGACCTGGGATTGAAGACTTCCAGCAGGGGAACAGAAGAGATTTCCAGCCTTTTGCATTTCTTCTTAACCTACATAGTGTTGATCGTCTGTAATACAGACTGTATGTGAGAGTCTAATGACCCTGAGAATAAGCCTTTACCTGGAATAACCTCGCAAACAACAGGGATTTCTCTCCAGAGCCCGTGACGACGTGCCCCGACCCTCAATAACACAGAACTTGGAGAAAAATAACACATGAATGTTAATGTATAATTAATATTGAGTTCCCCAAAAAAATCAACTGAGTGACCAATTTTACTGTCAGCAATATTAATATACTCTAAAATGTGTAGATAAAGCCATGTTGCTGCTAACAATAATAGTTTGTATTTATATTAGGTGATTAATGTAATCTCAAAGTGTAACCAAAATATCCAATATTGACATATTCCTCTCAATACTCAGCAAATACAGTCAAACCAGAATGTATTCAACATTATCAGTTTATTGGCTCTAGTTTATAAACATGAGCAGAACTCAGTTCTCAGATCAGTGTTTGATATGTGACTGGTTTTGTCCGTCCTTCTGTTGGACTCTCACACATGAATTATGTTGAATATCTGTTAAATTACACAATTAGATAATGCCAGTTTAGCTCAACCATGGTGACCAAGCAATGCTTCGTGTTGTTCAGTGTGTGTCCTGATCACACTAGTAAACAAATATCAAATATTATATCCGGTGTGTGGTTTGCCTGGAGATTATCCGGCTGGGATTACCTCCCAATCTTTAATTCTGAATGTTACTATAAGGAGAGCTAAAGCAATTACTGGCGTGTGTGAAATGTCAGGTAAGGGCCCGGAAATATAAATCTGAATATTTATTCGCTGCTCTGTTTCTAATCCCTGGCCTCGCTTGACCCGTGTTTGTTTGCCTGGATTGTCTCGTGATCGGATAAATCCCGATTAGCACTGCGGTCAATCCAGGCCAACACTTAAAGACTGAAGTGCCTGATATTTAACAAATGTTTAAATAAAAGGAACCTATTAGTTATTAAACTCTCAGTGCGCTCGTGTCCCTCGGGTGTGTTTTGTTTAGTTTAGTTACTATGGAGGGATTCCAGATCCCTTTCAGTGATGAAACACTCACCTATTAACTGCAGAGCACGCTTATTTATACACAAGTATTTTTGTATTTTAATGTGCTAATTGTGTGTCGTTCTGCTCTAGAATGACATTCAATCAGATTGCAACATCGTTTTTTTTTAAGGAGTTGCATCACAAATTATGCCATTTGTTTAGTCTTTTTTTTATTTAAACTATGTTTTTAGATAGAGGGATATATAGATGATAGATGTATATAGATTACATGCATTCAAGCTCAACTGCACAACTCTCAGTGTCTGAAACGCTTCCATTGAAGACTCAGTCTCTCTAAGCTCCGCCTCCCTGAGAGCTGCTCTGCTCTGATTGGTCAGAACGCTCATTATCATATCTGAATCTCAGCTCTTGATCACAGTGATACGAACAGTGACGATGGCGTGTGTTTCACCTTTTCACAATATTCTAATTTTGAATTTGGGGTTTTCATATCTGTAATCCATAATCATCACAATTATAACAAATAAAGGCTTGAAATATCTCACTTTGCATGTAATGAGTCTATATAATTTATTAGTTTCACCTTTTAAGTTGAATTACTAATGAACTTTTGCATGATATTCTAATGTTTCCAGTTTACATTCACACTCTGCAGGACAGGCAATATTCGAAAACGCATAATTAATTGTTTCAATCTCTTGAGCCAAGCTGGCCAGCGTTCGCTTTACATTCAATAACTATTGAGTAAAACGGTAACACTTTACAGTATTACTTAAAGGAGTCGTTCATTTAAAAAAAGCTTTTGCTGATAATTTACTCGCCCCCGTGTCATCCAAGATGTCCATGTCTTTCTTTCTTCAGTCGAAAAGAAATTAAGGTTTTTGATGAAAATGTTCCAGGATTTTCTCCATATAATGAACTTCAATGGGGTCCAAACGGTTCAATGTCCAAAAGACAGTTTCAGTGCAAACTACAAACTGTTCAAAGGGCTTTAAACGATTCCAGACGATGAATAAGGGTCTTATCAAGCGAAACGATCGCTCATTTAATAAATAAATAACAAAGTTTAAGTTTTATAAGCTCAAATGCTCGCCTTGCTCTGTTCTGTGTGACTCTCGTGTTCGAACTCGTTTATCAAAATGAACAAATCTTTTTTGTGTCATTTGGTTCATTTAACAAACGAAATGAACAAGTTGACTCTGGAAAAGATTTGTTCATTTTGATGAACGAGTTCGAACAGGAGATTCACGAACGCGCATCACAGAATTGAGCTTATAAAACTTAAACTTTGTTATTTATTTATTAAATGAGCGATCGTTTCGCTTGATAAGACTCTTATTCATCGTCTGGAATCGTTTAAAGCCCTTTGAACAGTTTGTAGTTTGCACTGAAACTGTCTTTTGGACCTTGAACCGTTTGGACCCCATTGAAGTCCATTATATGGAGAAAATCCTGGAATGTTTTCATCAAAAAACTTAATTTCTTTTCGACTGAAGAAAGAAAAACGTGGATATAAAGCAAAAACGCACCATGATAAAGCCTTAAAGTGCCAAAGAAATATGCCAAGTAATGACCTCGTGCTGTTGCATTTCCAAAT